TAGATCTACACCTTAAAGACCGAAGAGTGATTGACCTACCTCAATCAGGCTGCAATTAAAGAAAAGTAGCATATTTAAAATCAATTTTTATAAACTTCGGATCTCCCTCTATTGTTTACAATCTAACTGCAGTTAAACATTAAACTGATGTATCAGCTGTTTGATTTCAATTCATATTTAAACCGTTTATAACATTTGAAAATGAGATCTAATTACGAAATAAGGGAAAAATATTTCTCGTTACCATTCACAGGTGCGCTGGATCATAATCTTTGAAATTATAATCTCATTGTAATCTCTTGAATCATAATATCAATCGTGAAAATCGGTCGAGTAGGACAGTTAAAAAAGGTATGTAATAGAGAAAATCCTTATTGTATTAATCATATAGATTGACTCTACGGATGATTACATAATCAGCGCTTTTGTGCAGCAAATCGCAATACGGACAACGAAGTTTGTGGAACTGTCGTCTGATATAATAATAGGCCTTAGCTGGTGATAACTTTGTTATCATATCTTGAGCCTATTGTTGTCAAAAAATACAAGAATACAGCCGGAGTTTGGAGCGATTTGTAAAAATTAGTGACAAATATTTAACAGATAATTTATAAGAAACATACATATGGTTAGGTAAATAGAGAGAGGTTATAAATAATTATAAACACATAAATGAAATGATGAAACCCTTCACTAATGCTCTGGTCCGCTGTGACAGCTGTTCGCTGTATACGGTCTGATGACTTGTAAAGGGGATGTGATCTGGAGTACTAAAGTCTCCGTAATGTCTGCTCACATTCTACATGCGAGTGCTGCTATCTGTGTTGGTCCTGCTGTGTATTAACATTGTTAAATACTCATTGTGCTCTTCAGTAAAATTCTATGATATTTAAACTCTTAAACAGAAAAAATAAATAAATTGGGAGATTTTATGTTTTGAAGGTCAACAATGAGAAAACCCAATTTATACCCCCATAAAACCCCGTTCCGATGGTCCGATCACGCTGCTCGCGAACATGTTCGAATAAATTTAGATTTACACGTTTGTACCAATTTTCGACGTAAAATCGGATCATTTTTGCTTGAGTTATCGGCTTACTGACATATAAATACTTATGTGAATTTTAACGGATGGTGTTTCAATACGAAAAAGTAAATCGGTCGCGGGCCCATGTCTTACCATGAGACCTACGGTAATAGCTTATTCCTTATATAAGGAATTTGCTAAAACCTAGCGAAGTGCAGACACGAAGACACTTGACACAAATCAGTAGAGACAAGAGTGATCGAGGAAGACAAAATAATACAAACAATTAAGATTAACTAAATTTCTTCAACCAAAGATTACTTTTCAAAATCCGCAAGATTATTTTTCACAAGGAAAATGTTTATGTGAAGCGTTATCTTTTAGTCCACGTTGAATGTAATAGTTTAAATCAAAAGAAACTAAGAAGGATTTTTGCGATTTAATGGCACAACAGAAGTGGAGCGTCGAGATCAGACTCTACAGTAGAATGATGAGTACCTTTTCAACAATGTTCTGGCTTTTAAGAGTTCACTCGAATTTAGTCAGGAACAAATCGTCCACAAACTCATGTGTTGCTCATTTCCGCCTCAAACTATGTGCACCATGGTGTTAAGGTCGTTGTACAGCATACCAAAAATCATTACACTTTTTCTGAATATCAATTACTCACTAATTGCTTTTTTTATTTTTCCTGTTAAAAAATCATGTTTGACTGTTCAAATTACACTTTTCCGGCTAAATCTTGACCTCGGACAGAGACACTAACATGTTGTCGAGACTTCCTACTACAGTGGCATCTCATTCTTAGTTGCTCGCGTGGTCACTCCCACGAGGCTTGCGTGTGTACTCCGTGTACTACGTGGTCACTGAGGGTCATGTTTCATGTTCACGTTGGTTTACCTGAGTAGCGAGTAGTAAGGTGAGAACAGCTGCTAGTGGCCACTAATGTATCCGGATCTGAGAATACCCACGGCTAACAGAGCTGCCGCATGCACACTGTACTTCCCAGCGTTGACACTTTTATATGGATGAAAACTCTTATTAGTTTTCATTATGTAGTTTACAAACCCACTCAATAATTCTCGAATCGATGATTTCGTAAAATAATTTTCATCATTATAAATTAGATCTAGAAATGGTTTACTTCTTGTTTTTACCATAGACGAATACCGTTATTTGGAAGCAACATGTATTTCTCCGCTAGCTGGTTACTCACTAATATTTTCTAATCCAAAATCTTAGTAATATTATAAATGTGAAAGTTTGTGTGTTTGTTTGTTTGTTTGTTTGTGTGTTTGAAGTTCAATCACGCATAAACCACTGGACGGATTGGGCTGAAATTTGGCATGATGATAGCTTACATTCCCGATTAACATATAGGCATATTCTTATCTTAAAAATCCTTTCGGGCTCCGCCCCAGTGGCTCTGTAATTCCCCATATTAACCTTATGCGTATTCATGTTTAAAGGGAATTAAAGAATTTTTCCTACAGTCACCCGACAAAGTTGGCTTCCCTGTACTGTTTATAGTACAGAAAGCTGCTAATTGCTGCATATTTATACTTTGCCGTACGGTTTATACTTTGCCGCACGGTTTATACTTTGCCGCACATCAGGATTCCAACCAAACAACACAAAACAGCGTGGTTTTATTATGCACGTAATCCGTGTACGCTTGGAAATAGGTTGGCAACACTTAAAGATAATAATACTATGAACAGCTGATTGACTATTATAACTATGATTTAACCTGTCATTTCGTGTTTATAGTTTCGGTATTTCTGAACCTTCTGGACTTTTCTTTTAAACGTTTTTAAAACATTCCTACGGTCTTAATAAACAAGAAAATACCTTTAAAGCATTTTTTTAGGCGCGGAAACCACTTCAAATTACAAAAACATACGGAACTATATTCTCAAAAGACGGAGCACATTTCTTGCCGAGGAAAAATAGCGGAGTGATACGGACCACGGGTACTACTTTCTCCAGGGCACCATTTGTGTAATTGTGTTGCTAGCTGAACCTAAAAACGTGTTGTATAGTGTTTGAAAGACTAATTATTTATGTTTTATAGTGACTGTAGGAAAAATATAATGTGTAACACGAGTGAAAAAGGCCTTTGCTGCACTCGAGATCATTCCGCACTCGCCTGCGGCTCGTGCGTAAACATTGCTCTCGTGTGCAGCAAAGTGCCACTTTCACCACTAGTTACACAAATAACTATAGTCAGCTGTTTCAACTAAAAAAGTTGGTTCTATGATTTACAATAGCATTAAAAAGTTATAAGGTTTACCTATTAGTTTACCACACTAGACAGTAACTTTCTTTCGAAGAAGTGATGTTTTACCAAAAAATAACCTAAAAATGGCATAATATAAGCAATCGTTCACTACAACAATGAGGTCTCTAGCTAGTATAACAGCTGACTTATTACAAAACAGAAACCGTCAGGTTTTTTTGGCGCACCCTTTATAATGGTTTACAATTATGTTTAAGTTTTTATTTTCATAAGGTGGTGTGTTTGTTTTCTTTCAAACTACTATACATTTTTCAATTGTGATATATTTTCAAACTATGCTTTAGGCAATAAATAATGATATTATCTTACTGTGGTCACTGCCAAGCATCCATATAAGCCACCTCTATTGGTTTATACTATAATACTCTGTTTATTTCATTTCTGCTTCATATTGGTTATACCATCGCAGGCGAAGCCGCGGGTACAAGCTAGTAATAACATATTTTAAAATTAAAATTTTTCTAAATAATTTTGATGAGGAGTTGATGTTATTGTAGTTAAACGTCATTTGACAAGCAGTATACTATTTTTAAAACCACAACGGAGAGACCTGGAGGTATAGCTCTTTACAATCAAAATTCTCCAAACTCTTGAGTCAAGGATAGGACTTGGACCTCAATGGGCTCTGCTCTCTGAATAATAACGAAATGTAATCTTGCTTCAGGTGTATTACAGACCTAGAATAGGAAATAGTTACGTGAGCTAACCATGCTTCATGTTATTTCTTGAGAGAAGTCAAACAGTCAAGGTTTAACTAAAAGAATTGCCAAAAGATACTAATCTTAACCTAGATGCAGGTTTTTAAGGAGCAAGTTGAATCATCCAATATAATTCAATATTTTAAATAGGTACTGTAATATGAGTCTGGAGTCCCGACTGTTTGGATTTTTATCGTACTAACCATTGCGGTGGTTCGGTAGTTTATAATCTCTAACTAGCTTTTTATTTGTATCCGTCCTTCAGTGATAGATAACTCTAAAACTAAACCTGACTATGAAGGTTTTAAAATAAATTTTTAAAGTATGCATATCTTAACAAAATGATCCTCATTAGTTCACAAGTTTTACACCTTGTTGTTGATACCGTGCATAATTCTGCAGAAATATATTTACTAGATAATCGTTTATATCTCTTGGTATATTTTTATTACCAGAGTTGGCAACTCTTCTGTAGTGTAGTACAATAAACTTCTCATCAATTCACAGTACTCAGGCAATACAGCGTGCGTTTTAAAAGTAACATGATATCTTATGTAGTGGACATAAATGTCAGCAAGCGGTTTAACGTGTAAAATGTTTTCAGATATTGTATAACTTATCCATAATAAACAAAACGAAACCATTGTTGATTTGTTCGATAACAGTTTCATGTTTTTGTGTTAAACAACTAACGAGTGTAAAATCTGTAATATCTTTTGTGTCGAACCTTTGTCTAAGAATCTAATAACAATAACTACATTAACAGGAAACCCGAGACGCTGCTTTAACGTGAAATAGGTATCGGAAGAGCTGCTAAAGCGACACCGATAGACACTCAAAGGACAATATTGCTTCGTAGATTTGTACTGAAGATGAAACGAAAAAACACATTCTCACACTACACCTACCGACTTAGAGCTAGAGCACAGTGAATGGTTTGATTTGATTCACACAGTAATGGTTTGTTGGGTTGCAGGAGGTGAGGTATGGGGTTGGCTGATGCCCCGGGATCGCGTCCTGGAGAGGTTTAACCAAGTGAGGAAGATCCTTCTGCCCGTGCCGGAGCAGCAACTGGAGGAGGCTCTGTACCACATCGGCTCCTACTACATACCTATCGACTCTGAGACGGAGATCTGTCGCAACCACAGCAACTACTTCTTTGAGAGCTTCCTCAAGAAGGACTTCTGGGCGTTGACAAGTAAGTAATATCATTGCAATATGTAAAAACTGATCCTTTTAGTGTTTTTTAAGCTCTTTAAAAAGATCTGGAGATAAATTGGGATTTTTTTGTTTTAAATAAGAAAATGTTTTAAATAAGAAATTTGTGTGGGTCATAAATGAGAAAACTTAGTTTTTACCCCAGAAAATTCCTTATAACGCCCCGTTCCCATAGCGATCATGCTGGTTCGCGAACACATTTAAGTTTATCCCGGCCTGCACCTTCAAGCCAAATAAAATAAACTCGTAAGGGGATCTTGTTGTTTCGTTTAACACCTTTGGTGGGCCAATTTCCAGTTGTTTATTGAAATGGTGTCATGATTCCCCGCAAGAAAACTACTTAAAGGTAAATATAAATAACTTAGATAATCTAAACCACTTAGAGCCTTGTTTATAGTCTAGTCCATCATAAGTTTATTTCAAGAATCGAATTGCAAGTATTTTTCTACACGTGAAGTGCTATAATGACATAGTTTTTTTCTATAAACGAATTAATTTTACAAATAGGAAATAATTGCAATACTACTTGTTTTAGTAGTCAGACTGATAACTAGTCTCCTTGGCTCCCGTCGCAGCAAACCTGTAGGCTTAGCGAATTTCCATTTGATTCGCATTTCAATGTAATCTATTTAAATAACATTGGGTTTAACAAGTACCCAGGTTTGCTACAACGGATTTTTTTTGTAAAATATTAATAACTTAGGCCTAGTATAAAATATATACATTTGCCAAGTTTGATTGAGATACCTATAGGTATCCATAAGCAAGCAAACTACAAAAGTTTACTTATTCTCTATAATAATAACATGGGGATTTTTAAAACTATATTTTTTTGGATTTTCTCCGCAACCAATAACAGTAAAAAACACTTCAATGTACCCTACTAAAATCACAAGACCACATCGAACTAACTCACCTCGAATGCAGTTATACACATGAACTTACATAAACACATGTTAGAGTGCAAATTGGGTATTGGATATTTTGTAGTATTTTATATGTTTATTTATCACATTTTAATAAGGTTTCAAAATGTTCTATCAACCTTATGTTCTGAATGATGTACTTGAACTTTTTTGTACTCACTGATGAGTTTACAAATAGTTAAATAATTTAGTACGTTTTTTTTAGGTTTTTTAAATTGTTAGAAGAAAAATTGTGAAATGTAATGTTTTGAGGGTCAAAAATTAGAAAACCACATTTTTACCGCATAAATCTCCCACAAAACCCCGTATCCTTGGTCCGCTCATGCTGGCTCGCGAACTCATTTAATTTTATCCCACCATTCATATAAATTTAATCAAAATCAGGCAAAAATTCCTCAAGTTATCGCCGTCTAAGTTCACGGATATATAATTTGGTACGAACGTGTAAATCTACGTTTATGTGAACGTTTGTGCGGACCAGCATGATCGGGAACGGCATGGGAACGAGGTTTTATGGTCGAATTATTGGTGTAAAAATTTGGCTTTCTCACTTTGACCCTGAAAACATAAAATTTACCAATTTCTCCATAGACCATTTAGGGTAGAACATAGAGCTAAAAAAAAATAGTTTAGTATATTTAAGTGTATTTGTACGCTTATTGGTTTCAGAGAAAATTGAAAGAAAAATCAAATTTAAAATGCCTATGCTTATGGAGAATAAATAAACTGTTGTAGTTAGCTTGTTTATGAATATATTTTGAACAAACTTGACAAATCTATTTATTTTATACTAAGCTATTGATATTTTACTTTTTTATTTTTATAAGACACACTTTATTACCATCCCTGTAGCAACAAACCTAGGTACTCGTTAAACCTAATGTTATTAAGTTTTTATTGATAATCAAATTAGGCAATTGTGAATTCGCTAAGTCCGCAGGTTTCCTGCTTCTGTGGTATTTTGCTTTACTACAGTACCTTATGTTGGGCGATTATTTTTCCCCACTGACTTCGTGCGTAGTTTTTCAACGAAATAATGTTTAAGTAAGCTTATCATTTGCAAATTAAATCGTGTATGTACATTATTCTCATAGATGCATCAGCACCTCATAGGGTTAGGCAAAAGTATGGAACCTCCCAGTTAACTTTTTAACGCGTTGCGTAGGAAAACCAAACTCGGCACATATTTACAACATAAGAAATTGCACTTTTCATGAAAGTTACAAATTTGCCCCAGCTCCCAAAATGGGGTATTTTGGAGGCAGCCCCAAATTTTCAAATGTAAACACCTATCATGTGACCCGCCATTGGTTTATTAAGAGAAAATGAATGGCGCAAACCAGAGGTCAATATCGCACCCCTAATCAAAATGGCAGCCATTTAAATTATTTAAGATGAGCAAGCAAGATAAAGTCTGGACACCCCCAGTTAACTTAAAAAAATTAATGTTTTAATACTGACCAAAAGGTGAATTCTCTTTTTTTATAAAGGTATGCTGAGTTTAGTTTTCCTGCTATCACCTGTTAAAAAGTTAATAGGGGATATTTCAAAATGACTGCCATTTTGATAAGGGGTGTGATATTGACCTCTAGTTTGCGCCATTTAATTTGTCTTGAGAAACCCTTTAAAATGAGGGGTCACATGATAGGTGTTTACTTTTAAAAATTTAGGGTTGTCAAAATATTCTATTTTGGGGGCTGGGGTAAAGTTGTAACTTTGATGAAACAGTGCAATTTCTTATGCTGTAAATATGTGCAGAGTTTGGTTTTCCTACTGCAACGCGTTAAAAATTTAACTGGGAGGTTCAAGACTTTTGCCTAACCCTGTATAATTCGTAATAAGTTAGCCTAGCCTTAAAGAAAGATATTTTTTCAAACCAAGTGGTCCAATTGAATTTTGTTTCTAAAACCAAAGAGGAATGTGTAACTATTTTATACAACAGATTAACATTTTTTAAATTACGTTACGTATAATTAACAAAATTTAAATAGTTTTTTATTATTATTATTTTGGGCAATTTTTTAGACAGCAACTAGTACATATATACAATTTTGAACGAATAGTGGTTTTGGCCTCTAGGGACATCAAAATGAAAAAGTATATCGGTCCCGGCGGGTCTAGGTCTTACCATGCCACATACGGTAATAACTACTTCCTATACGGAAATTCACTAAAAACTATCGCCCTTGCAAAAGACAAGACAGAGTCTGTACTAATTAACCAATTACCAACCGGTTACTGAGGTTCTGACAAAAACCTAGCCCAAGGCGCACAGCCGCCTAGCGAGACACCAAAACATACGAGCACGCGTCAAATGTAGTCTATTCTTAAATTCTTGTAAAACAGAATACATCACCAAAATAGTTTCTGGTGAAGAGGATTTTTTATCTATTATCAAGCTAAAGATATATTTTTTTAATGACTTTCCCTATCTATATTTTTATAAGCGATCTACGTTGTATGGTATACCTTATAATGGTTTCAATTTCCTATTCGTTGCCTTAGAATATTGTTTCTAAAATCGTCACACCCTTTATTAATATCGTCATAATTTTCTATATTTCGAGACATATAGGTACTTGTTACATGAATACCTCTCTCAATGGGGAGGAATCAAACCAAGTCCAGGTAAGATCAAAATATGAATCTCAACTGTCATTTACTTGAAGAAATCTAAGAAAAGCTTTGTCTAGCTAGCATTGAAATAATAATATTATTAAAAAATTGCATTGTTTTAAAAATCTTAAAATAGTTTCAAAACGTAAATGCCTCATTTAGGAAACCATCCACATATGTGGCACGCACAGTTACAACACCTCGTGGACATCATCAAAGAACAATAAATGACGAGAACAATCCATTTTACGACCAGTGTTTATTTATTTCGTCACACCTAAGGAAACAAAGACCTAATAAATACGTCGCTCAAAGTCTTTGTGACGGATTCCCATTTGATACAATCGACAACTGACTTGGGACAAGATCTATATTTTACTCACTGTAAGAGAAAAGTACAATGTTTTACGACACAGTAACTGATTGATAAACGGTCTTTGGCGTCGAATAATAATCGCATTAATTACTTGGCCTCTTCCAAAACGACGTCGGTGATGGAACGCTCAATTTGTTCTGAATGTCGACCCTGAGGAGTTATATAATAAGTTGCTACATGTAGGCTATAGTCGCAATATTCTGTGTTAATTGTTGTAAAGATACGACGTTTTACCATAGACTAAGCAACACAAGTATGATTTATCTATGGTTTTACGTATGCTGTAAAGGGGGATTTTGTAATAAAATGCTGATTTTTGTTCATAAACAAAGATTAGTATTATATTTTATTGTTCATAAGTCCAAGTAAATTACAGGCTACGTACACTGTAGACAATTATCGATAAATCTTTCTAAAACTTTGTTAGTAAAATTATTTTTAAATTAAAGTGTATATAAATTTCCAAGTTCATACTTACATTTTGTGAAACATTTATAAGTACATATGTGATAAACACATTTTATTGTTCTATCAAGGCCACTGGTTCTATCAACCTTACTAGGCCTACCCACATAAACAAATTAAAACGTTTTTTACAGATTTCAAAAGTTTTTGCCGTACAGCATAAAATAATTTGACATTGTTGTTTTATAATTATACTCCTACAACTATAAAAACTAAAACTTTAAATATTTCAGATTAAAATTTGTATACTGTATAAGTTATTTTAAGTTAAACATTTTTGACTTAACAAGTAGTTAAAATCCAATAAAACACGTATCATAGTTATTGACTAGCTAATAGAATTACAACACCAAAGGATGTTTACTTAGGTTGTAATTGAACATGTTTTAAATAACGAGAATTATTGAAGAAATCCTTGTAATATTCCGCTGTCCACGAGACCTTGTCCAGTTTGGAACCGAAACAATCGCGTGCAAGCCAACGGCAAAGGACGAAGCAAATTAGGTTTTGGAGATTTTGTAGTATTTGATGTTTTTTTAACACATTTTAATAAGGTTCCGAATTGCACAACTTTTTGTGAAAAGCATAGGGTTGATAAAATCCAATCTAAAAAACAATTACATAATAATTGATCTAATAACCACTAGATAAGCACATATAGATCAACCAGTGCGTGTTCCAGTCTGACGCATTTTATCCGACTAGTTTGGTCAGAGAAAAAGGAATCAAGCATTCATAATAGAAGATATTTTAACAAGTTTTGATTGTTAGTTTGGCCTATTGGAGGTGTTCCTTACGATTCAGCTTATTGTGCACCAAAGGCTTCATTCAAACTTGTTACTTTTGTTGTGCAAGAATCGCCAAGTATTGCCAAGAACCATCGAGGCAAGAGTAAATTAAATTCTATTCGTGGCATGAAATATGTATTACTCACTGTAAGGCCATTTAACTAGACGTCGTATACACATTCTGTATTTAATTGGTATGCTTTTAGGCAAGGTGTTATCTTTTATATTACAAAATTTGTGTTTTCTTTTCCGAGTTCATTTGGCTCTTCTACCCGACCGATTTTAATGATTGAGGTCCTAAATGAAGGTATGCCCGCACAGATTTCACATCAACCATCGGCAAATATTGATCAATTTAGCAATTATAACTGTATTCCTTGACAAAAAACATAAATTTTCGATTTATTTTTACTTCAATTTAAGATGTATTTCAAAAGTTATAATTATGTAATCCTATATGTTTTGGTCTAAGAACCTTAGTGAGATGCCGGCTTTCATTTATGCTATTCGGTATTCAAATCGGACGAGTTTCAAGCAAATGCAAGGTGAACAACCAACATACAAATTATTTTATAAGGGTTTTCTATGATAATAAATCAATAGCTCCAGTATTGTTTATGTTTTTTATGTTTTAGACTAACAATAATCAGTTAATAATGGACTTTAATTTAAGCTATTGATCGTTTGAATCAGTTAAGTTCAAGATACTGTATTACTCAATAAAAAAAACATAACCTTCAATATTTCTTGAAAATGATATTTATTTCTCCGCTGCGGAGCAGCATTGGTCCTGTACTTAATTTATGAAAATTATTTGTGGGCTCCACTCAAGTATCTTTTTTGTTAGGTATTGTTTGTTTATTATTTGTCTATAGTGATATCCATGACTCACTATTAAGCGGGACGTTTTTCGGGTTCCGCACGTTGGACTTGATTACATGGACGATTGCGTGTGAAGTATGTATGTGTGTGTTTATGTCGAGTCCTGCAATACTAACAAAGTGTTGATATGTCCTGCCTTTGGAGACAACCCTAATGTAACACGAAAGTAATCTGTTGCAGTGATCGACGCCAGCAGTAAGATCCCAGCAGGTATCCTGGATGGCCGGATGATGGACCTCGGCAGCTACGACGAGTGTATCAGGGCAGAGGAGCCAGAGGGGAGGTTCCGAGGACAATATTGCCTAGTAGAAACCGAGGGAATCCTGCCTAGGGACCTCACTGCCCGCTTGAACCCGGAGGTTAGTCAGTAGGCCTATCACTAATGAGACAACTTGTCCAGATAATTTACGGCAATTCTTGAGTAAAAGTGTCTGAAAACATTACCAAAAATTAAACAATTATACATATTATACATAATTACCAGAACTGATTATTATGTTCTTGGTGAAGGTCGGGACAGATAGGGTAGAACTACTGCAAACCATAGACTATAGATTATACTTTTTTATTATAGAGTCAATGTACAAACTCACAGAATGGATTAATCAACCATATAGATTAAATTATATCAAAACATAATTGAACATATAATTGATAATTCAATAATCAACCATTATTCTCTAGCATATTTAATTATTAGCTGGTAACCAATGTTCAGAGCGATAGAATGTGGGGGTCTATAATCTATACTAACACGAAAATATTAAAAATCTAGAAACTAGATTGTACACATTTTCACAGCGGGGACAGATTTAAATTTTGGAATTGGTAACTCAAGAGGAATATATATAAGAACGAGGAAGAAATATATAACGTTCATGAACATAAAAATAGAGTAACAATTTTCTGTAACAAGACCTGTAAAATGATACCAAACTCGACTATACTTGTCATATAAAATTTTTGAGCTACCCCCTACCTCCACCCCTAAGGGCAAAATTTTCAAAATTGAGCATGATATTTATTGTACCCCCTCAGATCTATGAAGGCTGCTGCGAACAGATTTCAAATATCTCAAATGGTTTTAATAGTTAAGGGGGGGGGTTTAAGTTGCTTTTCAGCCACCCTGTATATAATGTGTGTGTGAGTGTGTCCGTTAGCACGATAACCGAAACAAAAATCATCCGATTTAGAATTCATCCGGTTTTGAATTTGGTACAAAAGTGTAAACCTACATTTATTAGAACAATTCGCAAACCAGCAAGATTGGACCATGGGAAAGGTGTTTTACGGGGGTTTATAGAGTAAAAATTGGGGTTTCTCATTTTTGACGCTAAAAGATATATACAATTTCACAATTTTTCTTTAAACAATTTTTGGAGCTTAAAAAATTAATTTACTATCTTGAAGTATTTTTGTATGGTTATTAGTAACGGAGAAAATTCAAAAAATTGCAAATTTAAAATTCCCATGGTATTCTTATGAGAAATAAGTAAATTATTGTTGTTTACCTGTTTTATGGATATATTTTGATTACACTTGACAAAATAATTTTATTTATACTAAGCTATTTATATTTCACTAAAAACACACTATATTACCCTCACCGTAGCAGACAACCTAGCTACTCATTAAGTTTAATGTTATTTAAATAGATTTGTGGAAATAAAATCAGGCAAATGGAAATTCGCTTAGTCTCTAGGTTTGCTGTGGTGGGGATATTTTTTTTGCAGTTTATTTAAACTGTCAGAACTGCGCATTCGTACTGTGAAGCGCGTGTTTCCTTGGGTCTGCGCAGATAACATCATACGACCTTGCCTTAGCACTTGTAGGAGCTCCGGGCTAATAGCCCTCCAGTGCAGCAGCGGCAGTCGGGGCTAAATTATAGCCCTTCGCTATTTCAAGCCTTTTACTTAATCGACGGGTAATGGAATCAGTTGAATCAAAGAAACAAACCAACTAATTTTCCTCGGTCAATCAGGTACTTACAGTTTTCTTCAAATGTGGGTTTGGATACAAAATAAACGGTCATGTATCGGTTTGTTACTGTTATGGTTTTTAGACACATTAGTCGAATTAATCTGGAATGTTACCTCCATAAAGATGATAAATTAATATACTTCTTCTGTGTATTTACTAGACGAAGAAGTAATGTCACTTTTCTAATAATACCTAACGACATTAGTTTAGTCTCATATAAACTAAAACAGTATCGCTGTAACCACTGTTTATAGAGCACAGAACCCATAACAACGCACACTCCATATAAGGATTTTGGTTTGATAAATTCTTAAATTCTTACTGCTAATAATCCTACAGTAACAGAAGGTACAGTCTTATCGCGTAGTTCAGTAACGTCTAGGGTTGAAAATTAGTGGTCTTGTTTCGTCAATACTCCAGAGTAGTGCAAAGTTCAGGATAAACCCTTTTTAGCGAATTTCCCGATAGGGACAACAGACCATCCTATGATCTTATATGAGCAATGTTTGCTTGTATGTATGTATGCTTGCACATTAATCTCGAAAACGGCTTTGAAGATTTTCTTCAAGTGTTGTAAATAATTTATGGCCTAAAAAGTGATTTACGACAGTCACTACTTCAAGAAAATTCGATTTCACTACACAGCTCATTTCAAAATTTAACATTTGCTGTTTTGGTTTAAAAACAAACTGTCAATATTATATTATATCAATATTATGCAAGTATAGACTCTTACAAACGAATGATTTTTAACATCGACAGTAAAATATTAATGTGCTGTTGAGTGCCAGGTTAAAATGTCCATGTTAATAAATTGAAATTCCACTGAAACTTAAATAATAAAAGCCAAAATTAGTTGTTAATAAAACGTGAGTTTCCTTTATATTGCTTAACAATCGAATATACCGAGACATGGATCGGTCCCCCGGTACTTATATCACTAGCCCCACAGTAGGCCTAACCGTGTAGCCACACATTAAAGTATTAACGCCATCAAAGTAATTTGAAATAATTAATAATGCTAATGGAGCTAATAATGATGGTAAATCCATTGATTTTAACGATCCCTTGTTTCTTGAGCATGTCTTCTGAGTTTTCTTGGTGGCAACTTCCCGATAAATTAAAACTATTAACTATCAACATCCTCTCACACAGGATATCTAAGTGATCAGGAGGCGAAGTTTCAAGGTAGTTTCCAATAAACATTCCAGCTTCAATAACACATTTAAATGGCTCAGTTTTTGCTGTAAGTACGACTGACCGTCCTTGGGCTAGAGACTTGTGCAGGCTAAGCCCCCTATATCACCTTCGGGGGCTTCACGATAGAGGCGGTATGTTAATGTAAATAATCATGTTACCTTCTAGTGTACGTCTGCGCAGAGGTAATCATTAGTCTATAAACTGCGTAGGTTTGAAGTGATTGACAAGATCATTTGATGAATTAAACTACCTCGGTCTCCGGCATTTAGTTAACATATAGTTCAAGACTAATGCTGTCGTAAGCTGTGTTTTGTATAACCGGTAATAATGCACGGTTGATGATTTAAGCTTATACACAGGGGTTGGACATGGACATATCTTGTGTTACATATTTTACCTTTCAAGTGAGATTGGAATGCAAGTAAGTAACTAAAAAAGATGAGTTAGTGAAATGTACAAGTAACGTTTGCACACAATGATTTTAAAACGGCTCCAATGATTTTCACTAAATCGTTAAATACTGTATTTCTTAGTTTTAGGCTAAAAACGATATTCATGATAGACTCTGTTCTGGAGAAATTCGTATTTCGTTAAAAAAATTAAATGGAATTTTAATATTTTAAACATTGTCTTATGGGTTTCCAAGTAGCGATGATGGTTTTAATGACAAGTAAACAAAAGGGTAAACATATTGTTACAACAAACCATTACAGTATACGAGCAAATTAAAAAATGCATTACAAAAGAAAAGGACACTCGGATTAATAAAATTGAGCATATAATTACTTTGAATGTATTATTGAGAAGTGTGATAATTAATTAATCTGACGTATATGATGATTGAAGAAAGTTGATTGTTTCACTACAAAACATTATGCACTAATTTGGAATTAAATCTCCAGAAAAATCCATGGACGTTTTATCGTTTTCGGCGGGTTCGCCGCCGGCGTGGGCGCGCTATTCCGCGATCCTATTGAATAACACGTCTCAAATATCACGAGTTTGTTGTTGATATGAGGTTTATTGCAGGATTTCAATAGAGATTGTTCGTCCGTATGCATATGTTTGTTCCGTAAATTAAGAATGAAGAGGAATCGTCCACCGAATACAAATTGGCTTTACAACTTAATTAAACGTATCTATATAAATAAAATTAGAGTTCTGTCTGTACATTACTCAGAATTATCTATTCTTTGGCTTTTTTTTACGTTTTATACATTAAAGAAGCCGAAACAAGTCTCGTCTCAATTTCTGTCTGTCTGTCTATCTGTCACGGCCCACAAGGCATTTTACGCGGCCTTCTCTTGAAAAACGATAGCATCGATCGGGATTCAATTAGTCTTTTTGTATTCACTGGATTGGAAAGAGTGTCTTTAGCCATTAAAATATGACCTCACTACTTTTGAAATAAAATAACGGACGTTCAAAACACCAATTTTGTGCAATTTTTGTCAGGTTTTCTCTTCATGTTTACCACATACGTCATTATTTATGAAATACTCATCGGTTTGGAGAATCAAGGCCACGCTAAAAAAAACACGACATATATGAAGTGACGAACATCTGTTTGGATGGATATTTTTTTCTATCTGTCAATGATATGTTTACATTAAATGTTGTTTAAATATTTCGTGGTTTTTTTGTGAAAATCCAAAACCAAGTGAGATTAAAAACGTCGTGCCTTACATAACGGATTTTGTTAATCGTAGGTGCAATAATGTATTGTGCAACTGTAAATGAAATTAAATTCCTAGGCATAATTAAGGTCGCTAATCAAAAATGTTGTGTGTGTGTATCAAATTGTACTTGAATTTTGATAACCGGGAAACAGACCCTGAAACAGTGCTGAATACGGAGTTTTACCTGCATATCTGGAAAAATGCACACTAAATATGCAAACCAAATGCTGTTCTGATTATAAGAAGGTTTCAACTGACTACATGATCCCGTCCGTAGAACACACACAACTAGTCAAAACTAAAAATTATAGTGATTTACAGGTAAAACCAATAAATTATATTTTTATAAAGTTAACTAGTATTCCATTCATTATTGTTTTTTTTTAACCTGTTTGTTTTATTTATACTTATTCCAAGGATGGTTCAGTATTAAGAATAATGTATTGACGTGTAAATCATAACATGATCATAACACATGTTTATGTTTATCCTACTAATAT